TTTTTTTCAGACGGAGTTTCGCTCCCGTTTCCCAGGCTGGATTCCAAGGATGCAGTCTCGGCTCACTGCGACCTCTGCCTCCTGGGTTCAAGCAATTCTCCTGCCTCAGCCTCCCAAGTAGCTGGGATTACAGGCATGGGCCACCACACCTGGCTAATTTTTTTGTGTTTAGTAGAGATGGGGTTTCACCATGTTGGTCAGGCTGGTCTCAAACTCTTGACCTCAGGTGATCCGCCTGCCTCGGCCTCCCAAAGTGCTGGGATTACAAGTGTGAGCCACTGTGCCCAGCCAATGTTTGTACTTTTGTAGAGATGGGATCTCACTACTTTTCTTTTCTTTCTTTTTTTTTTTGAGATGGAGTTTTGGTCTTGTTGCCCAGGCTGGAGCGCAATGGCGCAATCTCGGCTCACCGCAACCTCTGCCTCCCAGGTTCAAGCAATTCTCCTGTCTCAGGCTCCCAGGTAGCTGGGATTACAGATGCGTGCCACCACGCCTGGCTAATTTTTGTATTTTCAGTAGACAGGGTTTCATGATTTTGGGCAGGCTGGTCTCCAACTCCCAACATCAGGTGATCCACCCGCTTTGGCCTCCCGAAGTGCTGGGATTACAGGTGTGAGCCACCACGCCCAGCGGGTCTCACTACTTTTCCCAGGCTGGTTTCGAACTCCTGGGCTCAAACCATCCTTCTGCCTTAGTCTCCCAAAGGGCCGGAACCATAGGCGTGAGCCACTGTGCCCGCCTTCTTTTTTTGTTATTACAGTTTGGTTTGAACTACATCCTGAAAAGGGGGAAGTATGGGGGGAAGTGGAAAAAGAAACTGTAGACCCACCATATCCTATAATCAATGGCTGTTAGTGTATGTACTACATGCTTATGATCTTTTTTCTCACCAAGATTATAAACGTCCCTAGAGCACAGATTACCTCCTTTTGGTATCCTGTAGTATCTAACACAATGTGCTTTAGAAAGTAGATGTTTAAAACATATTTGTTGATGATAATACCCAGTGCTATATACAGATGGTTTTGCATCAACCTGGCCATGCTATCTCATTCATACCTCATGTGCTAGATAACTTGTCTTTTCCTGATGGGTTCCTAGAGTACAGGGCAGCAAAAAGCCAGCTAGAGTTTGTCAACCACACAAACAAGACTTGGCAAGGCCATGGCCTGACTGATTCAGCCAGTAAAGATACATTGAGCCACTTTTAGATTCAGGTAGTTTATTACTTAAATACAGTGCATAAGGAAAAATGCACAATGGTGATAGATGCTTGTGATCCTTGTCTCATACATCAAAAACGACAATACAGTTGACTCTGTATCTGTGTGTTCTACATCTGGGATTCAACCTACCTTGGGTCAAAAGTATTTAGAAAAAAACTGAAATAAAAAAATAATAGGCCAGGCATTGTGGCTCTCACCTGTAATCCCAGCACTTTGGGATGCCGAGGCAAGTGGATCACATGAGGTCAGGAGTTCAAGACCAGCCTGGCCAACATGGTGAAACACTGTCTCTACTAAAAGTAGAAAAACTAGCCAGGCGTGGTGGCAGATGCCTGTAATCCCAGCTACTCGGGAGGCTGAGGCAGAAGAATTGCTTGAACCCAGGAGGTGGAGGTTGCAGTGAGCCAAGGTTGCACCACTACGCACTCCGCAGCCATGGCAACAGAGGGAGCGAAACTGTCCATCTTCAATTTAAAAAAAAAAAAAAAAAGTCAGCCAGGGCGCGCATGGTCTCACAGCTGTAATTCCCAGCATTTTGGGAAGCTGAGGGTGGTAGATCACCTGAGGTGCACGGAGTTTGAGA